GGTTTTTACTCCTTTGGGTTGGTTTTCCTAGGGTTATGAATTTTTCTTATTTTTTTGGTGAATTTTTCTCGTCTTTCTTTTTTGCCTTCTGCTTTTTGGAGTTTTTCTGGGGGGTAGGGGGGTATCCCAAAATTGATCGACATCAGGTGGTTTGTAGATCTTTTCTTTTGAGAGAGTTGGGTGTAATTTAAGGAGGGTGCAGATCTTGGTGATCAGTTTTTGGTCAGGTGAGGTCAAGGTGGCACATGTTTGGACTATCATGAGTTTTTACTGCGGTTTAGTTTAGATTGGAGGGATCGTTCGAAATGAGGTGGGTGTCCTTTCAGGGATTGCATGACACTAAAAAGTTCCCCTTTAGTTTACTCTTAGGTAGTTTGTTAACTCTGGTAATATAGTCACTTGGAGAATTTATTTTTATCGACCAGTGTGGGGGGATTTTTCCAACCAGGGGCTGGCAGTTCAGTTTGATAATCTGCGGGGTACAGGCTTCAACTTACCAAAACTTAGGTTTACCTAGGCGAGAGTATGGGAGGCAGTGGCGTTATCTGGGTTTTTGTGTCGTGGGGTCTAATTTTAGTATCTCACATTATACCTTCTTCCTGTTAATTGCCCACCGGTTTGAGTAGATTATTTTTGCGTGTAGTTTAGTTAATATTTTTGTCAATTTTGACTTATATGTAATTTTCTACTTATAATCGCGTCCATGTTAGGTTTCTAACTGGAACCCATTAAAAAAAATAAAAATATTAACAAAAATTCTAATCCGTTAAATATATATAAGAATGATTTTGCTTTAAAACTAAAAATAGAGTGGGTTCCATATTCTCGAATTACAAATTTAAAGGAAATAGCAGAAGGAGGATATGGTAAAATTTATAAAGCATCAATTAATGGAAATATTGTTGCAGTAAAAGAGTTTCTAAATTCTCAAGATCCTAGTAAATATTTTTTAAATGAGGTAATTATTTGATCCTATAATATTTTATGAAGTAAATATTTATTTATTTTTAATAATTTTTACAATTTAGATAAAATCACTTTATCAATGTTATGATAATAAATTTGAATATATTATTAAATGTCATGGTATTACAAAAAATCCTATGACAGATAAATTTATGTTTATCATGAAGTATGCAAATGGAGGTGATTTACATAATTATTTACAAAAGAATTTTACAAAGATTACATGGAAGAAAAAAATGCATATCTTATGGAGGATTTCGGATGGGTATTTATAATTTAATTTATTTATAACGTATATTTTATGATATCAAATCAATTTATTTGTTTTATTTAGGCTTCAAACTATCCATGAAAAAGATTTTATACATCGAGATTTTCATAGTGGTAATATATTAGTTGAAATAACTGAAATTGATTCATGTATAATTGACCAATATTTGATTGGAGATTTAGGATTATCACAACCTGCGAATAATACTTTATCAAACAATGAAATATATGGAGTTATACCATACGTTGCTCCAGAAATATTTAAAGGAGCTGCATTTTCAAAAGCATCTGATATTTACAGCATGGGTATGATTATGTGGGAATTGACAACTGGTTGTAAACCCTTTGCTAATATTGATGAGGATGATGTTCATTTAGTTTATAAAATTATTGATGGAATAAGACCTGAAATTACAGATGATACTCCTGAAGATTTTGTTAATTTAATTAAGAAGTGTTGGAATCCTGAACCTAGAAAAAGACCTTCAGCAAAAAGAATTTGCGAAAGTTTTAACCTTTGGGCAAATATGGAAAAAGATGTTGATCAATTTAATCAAGCTGAGGAAATACGATTAGAGCTAATTCAATCTAAGTTGCTTGGACCAGAATCTATTGGAAAATTTCATTCGAAAGCGACCTATACAAGCAGACCATTAAGTTCTTTTATTTCCACATCTACTAATACATCAATGAATTCATTTAAACAAGGTATGTATAATAATGTGTTTATTAAATATATTTTAGATTAATTGATGAGTATTAATATTGCCAGTTTAGTTAAATTATAAATTTGAAATATTAATTGAATTATCGGATAATAACTTAGATGATTATTTGTTAATTATTATTTAATTCATTTTAGGATATGTAACAAAAGAATACGAGATTGATATAAATGATATTCAAAGGTATGAATGAAAAATTACGAAAATTTATTTTATAATATTACTAACATTAATACATTATAATTATAATTGTAGGCCAAGTAGAGATTTTATAATTGAAAATTCAAACACCCAGCAAGTAATTTATACTAGCAAACCATTAAGCAAATTAATTTCAGAAATAAATCCTTCAAGAAAGCGGAATATTGAAGACGAAACTCAAGCTAATGGAGTTGTTAGTAAGTAAAATTTTTATTTATATATGAATGCAATAATTATATACATCGTAAATATAATATATTTTTATTTACAAAAACAGGAAAGCACGTTAAAATTAGTAACGAAATTAACACAGAATCTCAAGAGTAATAAATTCATTTAGAAAAATCAAATTTTATTTATTTATTTATTTACTAGCAGTGAATCATTGCTTCACACCGGGAATAATGTTTTTAATCAATATATGATAAATTATGTGTATAAAGTATATTATATACTAAATAAGCAGAGATATATCTATAGATTATTTTAGTGAAAAAATGAATAGAGACTATATGTTAAAATAGTAATTGTTTTTTTTTTTATTTTACAATTAAATTTATTCTATTTTATTAAATATTTAAAAATGATCTTTTTTTATCTTTCATATATTGACGCTTTTATTTTAGTCCTAAATTTGTAGTAGGAAAAGGCTATATATCATGCGATTACTTCTGCGTGACCGACGACCATAGCGTCGCCTCCAAAAAATGGTAGCCGGATTATTTTGCCGGTTCTTTAGTGTTAGGGTTAGGATTAGGGTTGGGATTAGGGTAAGGGGATTAGGATTAGGATTAGGATTAGGGTAAGGGGATTAAGGGTTAGGAATTCGTCACATAATGTCACACCTAACGTTTCTTTAATTTTATAATTATTCTGAGGACTTAGAAAATTTTTTATACGTAAAGTACTAAATGTCACGTATTATTTATCACCTCTCAATAATATATGTAACCCGGCAAATTAGAACCGGCTACCATTTTTTGGAGGCGACGCTAGGGTGGTTTGCGTGACCTATATATCATATTAATTTACGCGAATTTTTTAATATTTATTTAAATTTTCAAATCTCTAATTCTTTTTTTGTTATATCTTTTTCAACTTTCTCCATATTTTCAATTTCCATTAAGATGGAATTTTCGAAATTTTCCATTAAATTCTTTTTAATAAAGATGTTTCTTAATGGCAACTTATGTTTTTGTGTAAAAAGATTTCATTTTTAACTTTTTTTTCATGTTTTTTTACCAATTACTATCTTTTAACTATACCTTTTCTCTCTAAAAAAAAATTAGTCAAGTGATCAACTATATGTAAAAAGATTTTGAACGAATTAAAAAAATATCATTTGAGAATGAGTAATTTGCTTAAATATAAAAAGAATAAAAGAATAATTATTTATTTAATAACTGAATCAAAAAAATTTTTTATCTTTTATAAAAAACGAAAAAAGGAAAAAATAACAGATATATTTATTTTAACTAAAAACCAAGCGAGCCAGAAAAACTGACCAAAATTTCATTAACCGGCATACAAATCTCACATAATTATGAACTCAATAGTATATTCAATTTATTTATATGGAAGAGTATCTAAATATCAAAGGTAATTTTTAATTATATAGATTTATTTATATTTACTGTATTTAAACTTAATTTTGTTAATAAATTTTTGAATTTATTTATCTTATTAATTATTCAAGTATCAACCAATACAATGACCAATATAAATTTTTCGTATCCACTGCATAAAGTCGAACATTGGTATCCCATTACAAATCTATGTACGTAGAGATATAGCGCAGGAGCAAAAATTACTATTTACTTCATATATTGTATTTCTCTAGGACCCAGAAATATATATATAGGGGTCAGGTGATGAAAAAAATTTTTTACTATGAGCTGTACGCATTTTTTCAGGGCCGGAATTATGATAATGCCAGTCGGTTACTATAATAGGAAATAAAATTCTGACTGGCATTATCAAAAATTATCTAAAAAAGGAAAGATTTTCATGATNCTATGTGTTATTTCCGTTCTAATTTTAACGTGCTCTCCTGTTTTTGTAAATAAAAAATATATTATATTACAAAATATGTAATTATTACACCAGGACCCGAAATATATATGAAAAGGTCAAGTTCAAGTTTGCGTACAGCCAAAAAAAAAACCGTGAAAAATTTTCCTTTTATAGATAGTGCCTGGTGAAAAGCTATTACCTTTTTTGGCCGAACTTATCATAATTCCGGCACTGAAAAAAATGAGTACAACTAATAGCAAAATTTTTTTGGCTACCTATGGCCTTTATATATATTTCGAGGTCCTATTACACGCATTTATAAAATAAAAATTTTACTTACTATTAACTTCATTAGCTTGAGTTTCGCCTTCAATATACCGTTTTCCTGAAATATTTATTTCCGAAATTAATTTGCTCAATGGTTTTGCTCTGTCTCTTATACACATCTAGATGTGTATAAGAGACAGGATTGGCGTTGCAAGGCCACGGATAAGCGCTTTTTTTTTCTCCATTTCTTTATTTTTTTTTTACTAATTTTTCCCCTTAATTTTTTTTTTCGTCCCTAGACCTTTTAGGTTCTGATTGGGATCGGCCCGTCTGTTTTTTTCTTATTTATTATTTTTACTAATTTTTTTCCCTTAATCATTTTTTTTTTCGCTCATCTCTTAGGTTTGGATCGGGATCATTTTCTTATTTGAATAAATTATAATCTTTTAATTTGAATAAATATAAATACAATTAATTAATATATAATCATTATACATAATAATTATGTATTATTTGTGCACAATTTATTATAATTTATTGTATGGTTTTAAGTCCATTGATTCCGGTGCGAAGCAACGAGTGACTGCTAGTATAAGTTTATAAAAAAAGTCTAAAAAACGTAATAAAATCAAGTAATAATTTTCCCTAATTAAATAAATATTTAATGTATGAATGTAGGGAATTTTACGGAGTATTTTTTTTTTGAGACATAAATTCGGGGAAAAAATCCTATTAAATTGTAAATATTATAATATAAGTCTATTAAGAAATAGCTTAACTTTTGGAAGCAATAATTTAAAATTTATTAATTTATATATCGTCAATTAAATTTAATTACAAAATTGTCGATTTTTTTTTTCTGTTAGCAAATCTAACGTGTAAATGATCAATATTACACGGATTGTTATAGATTATGATTTTATACTCGCTATAATTCATGATTTGAAGAATAATATATTTATCAAGTTATATTTTTGATATTTCATATGAAATTAAATTTGATGTTGAAATTTATTTTAAAAATATATGTAAATATATATAATCTTTAAAATAGCGATTATTATTTTTAAGAAAATTAAATTTGAATATTAAGTTTTTATATATGAAAATAAAATTTAAATCGTATTTAACATGAATTAACTTTAAACACTATTCACGGGGAATCTCTTAAAAGAAAATTCAACAAGAAAATGCGATTTTTTCTTCTAATAATAATTTAATAATATTTATCAATTTCAATGTGATAGTAAAATTTTTATATATTTTTTTTTACATTTGATATTAAATGAGATTAATAAAATTTTTCAATTTGCTTATTTAAAATTAATAAATATTTACAATTACTATCGCTTGATATGGTTGTTGAAAATTTTTCAAAAAATGCAAATTAAATAATGATGTTTTAATTTAAAGGTCAATCAAGTCAAATTATTACTAAATAATTCTACTAAAATAAATTTTTATTATACTTTAACTATAAAAATAGTCATTTTGAATTTAATGCTAATATAAAGCTCGTTCACACAAAATCAGTTTATTGGCGGTTTTTTTGAAATTTTGTCTGATCATTTACAAATCAAACTTCAAACTTCGAATATACACCGAAAACAACAATAAAAATTCAAATATTTTTATAAAGAAATGCCTAATTAAATTATTGTTCTTTCATATAAGCTAAGATAAAGTTCAAAGCTTGATAATTAAGACTAAAGTAGAATAACGTGTAGATCATTCCTTTTTTGTATAATTCCAGGCAGCTTTATGTAATAATTCTGGCCCTGAGGAGACGTGTAGAACTAATAGTATATTAGTGCAATCTATTTACATATTTTATTTATTAAAAATATTAAAAATGCAAACTTTATTTGTTGAAAAAAAAAAATAAATAAACGTACAATTTAACAAGAAGACGTTGACAATATTTTTCGTTTAAATGAACGGATAATTATTTACCGATTCAATGTAATACGCTATGCACTTGGAATGTTCGAAAACACAAAATCTTCAAATTGTTGATCCTTTGATTCTATAGGATTACAACTTATTTATATTATGATTTTGTATGTTCCACTATCAAACAAACAATATTTTGGCTGAAATAGTGACATGGCTAAAAATAAACAAACAAACATCGTTCACACCAAAAAAATGAAAGGAGCTATTCTTATATTTACACAAAGTTGTAATCATGTATATAATTTTATGTAATAGTATAAACATGTGTTATAAATGGAAATTCCGAATTCTAGAAATTTATTGTTCATTTATTTGAAGAAATTTGTTTATATGTAAAATAAAAAATCATTACCTAAGAGTGTAATAAATTCTTTTTGGTTAAATAATCATAAATGGCACTACTTCAACCTCCAAGATCTTCATACACTCAAGCTAGTAGAAAAGTATGGTTCTCTTATGTGGAAGGTTCTAATAGATTTCAACATGAGTTGTTAGGCATTACTAACTCATATATAGCCGGGAACTTACACCTTCAATTTCCTAAAGGGGAACCCCTAAATGCCAAGCAAATTGAAGTTTCCATCACGGGTACAGAGTATGTTCATTGGACTGAAAAAGTAACCAGAACTCGTCAAGTATATGATTCTATTACCAATTCATATTATACTCAACTTTATGTGGAAAAAATAAATTATCTCCATGAACAACAAATTCTGAATAGATCAATGATATTATGGCAAAGCAGAAATTTGAAGAATAATGTAAGGTCAAAAAAAGAATTATATGAAAATATTGCAAATATGTATATTCCATTCCAAATTCCATTACCTAATGATATACCATCATCAATGAGTTTGGGTACTGGAACTATTTATTATAATGTGAACGCAAAAATTAAAAGGAAAAGCAATTTTTGGAAATTTCAAGGTTCAAAGAAAATGATTAAATGTAATTGTAATATTTCTCGTTATAGTCTAATGCCAATGACAGATCCTATAAAATGGGTAGAATGGAATGATCAGAAAGCTTGGAAACGTGGATTAGGTTATGATGTTTTCATGTATTATAGTACCTTTGGACCTGAAAATCCTATTATTGTTAAGTTTGCTCTTAAATTTTATAAGTATGATTTAATAATAAAAGAAGTATTTGTTGGTTTGAAAGAGTATCATGTTTTTAGAGCTTCTGAGAATGTAAAATTGATCAGTGAGTATATAGAAGAAAGAAGAGTATCTGGTGATCAATTTCCAAATATTTTGGATGCACATAATGAATGGTCATATAATTTTAAAATTGAAGTGCTGGATGATAAGGTTAATTGGTCTACTGATAGAGATAATATTTATGTATATCATAAAGTTAAAGTTAAGATTAGATTTGGATTATTTTCTGGAAAGAAAAATATTAATTTAGAAAGAAAGGTCAATATTGAGAATATTTATAAGAATCCTGAATAATTATAATATTTATATCTAAATTACGTCGTCTAAAGCCGGTATATCACGTGATTTTTCATGTTAACTATAACCACTCTAGCGTCGCCTAGAAAAAATGGTAGCCGGATAGGTTTTCCGGGTTATATGTGATTCGGAAACTGATTTCCGGTTAGCTTATTAATTTTTATTATAACAAAAAAACTTCTGAATAAATTAATACAGTAAATATTTAAAGTTTTTTCTGAAATTTTATTTTAATATTGCTATTATTTATTTTATTTATTCCCAATACATTGTATTTTTGTTAAAGTTTTTTCATGTTTTTGGCATTGTTCAACGGTTTTCTAGTGCTTTACTATCATTATTCATCTTTTCCAACAATCTGAAATTTTTGCAAACATTCTTTAACCATAGATGTCGATTTGGTTTGTTATATGATTCTTTTAACAGTTCTTTAGCCTAAAAAATTTCTTTGACATTATTAAAGATTAAAAATGCATCTGTATATGAAATTTATACGTAATATTAATATGCCTTGGTCGTGGATATAACATTTATGAGAATACTTAACTTTAATTAAGTCCAGTTTTGATAAGATTTCTATATTTATTGTTCCTTCACAATGGTACCATTCTAAATAGGTAGATGCGTCTCTTTGTTTATCTAATATAGGATGCTTTACTTGCCGTTTTCCAAGCTCAATTCGACAATTGCAATAATATAATATATGAAGAGAGTATTTTTTTTATTTTTATTCCGATAAACCATGAATAGCCATCACGGCATCACCTTCCGAAATAAGTGTTATTACAGAAAAGATGATAATTCAATATCAAGATCAAGATTTAACTCCACATTTTCACCTTCATAATGTTCGTTAGTATCATTTAGAGAAATTAAATAATTAATTATTGTGTTCAGATTGTTCAGTATTTTTTTTAAACGAGCAATTTTAAGTTTATCTCGGCAGTGCAAACATTTTTTTAAAGTAACACCTTTATCATTTAGAAAATTTTCATAGCTTTGACGAATATGACATCTTTTACAAGTTCTATTTTCCTGGTTTGACATTAGTAAAATAAGAAAGAAAAGAAAAGGGTTTATAGTGACGTGTTTGGCGAGATATTGATGAAAAGGTAAAAAGGTAAAAAATTATCAATTTGTAATTAATGTAACCGGAAATCAGTTCCCGAATCACGTGTAGCCAGCGAACCTATCCGGCTACCATTTTTTCTAGGTGACGCTAGGTAAGTTTGTTAACTATGTGTCAAATAGAGGCGTGACAAATAAATTTATAAAATTCGTCCCCAGAATAAATAGTAAAAATGGAAAACAGGGATGTGATGAATGGGTGATGAATTTTTTAAAATTATGTGATCTAACACGGCTTTAGACGTTCCCTTATTATGGTATATACGGTCGGTATTATTATACAAATTTTAAATCAGTCATTCTTTGTAACTTCTATATAATAATAAAGCATCTTATGTTATTATGTCATTGAAATTAATGTTTTTTACTTTTTTTAAACTCTTAATTTTTTAATATTAATGCAAATTGAAAAAAACTTTATTTATAAAAATCCACTATCATTAAAAAAAATAATTTGAATATTATCTCATTTATTAACTTGTCGTTCATAATATCTTGTTCATTATATTTTGTTTATTTTCATTGGACATTTAGTAAAAGAAGGTTTGTTATCAGTACCATGAAAAAAATAGAATAAAAGAAAACTATCAGCTAAAAAAACTTATGATAAAATAATTTCATAGAGGTACTAATTAATAACTGTTGTACAATTTATAAGTTATACAGTTGGGAAATGTGAAATGTGATAATGATTTACTCATGAACTTATCTGTGCGATATCAAACAAAATGCTGTAGAGACGAAAAAACCATGGCTGTGGCTGTGCGGACTTGCAAGGAAGTGACTTTAGATCCATTTTTTCATTCAATAATTTCGAGGAATTTATTAGCATTATGGAGCAAGAAACATGAGCAGTTAATATAGGCAGGTCATCATTTCGCTTTGTAAATGAAACTAAAACAATCAGGAAGATTTAAACAGTGTATTTATTAACAAACAAAATTTTACATCACAGATATATTTTTCAAATGAGAAGAGACACCCTAAGTGTGATGACCACAATATGACATAATAATCAACTATCACGAAAATTAATATTGCTTTCTTTAAGAACTATGCCATATTTCGCTGGTAAATCGTTGCTCCCTTGTTAAATATTTACATTAAATATTTCCCCCTTAAAAATTTATTTGTATATGACCTTAATTTATTGATTTGCGCGGTCTTAATATAATTTAATTATTTGGTAACTTACATTTTAAAAATAATTAAAAAGCAATATAAAATCTGAACTAATAATTACATTAAGATATTAAAGGTAAAGTTTATCTTTTTTATGTTAATTTTACCAATACGAATTTCATATTCAGTGGGAAATTTACAGTCATAAAGTCTGCGAAAATTGATGAGAAACAAAAAGTAGTAGACATAACTAAATTTGTCAATTATTTTAGAAACGAGGCACAGAAGCGATATTTTCAGTTAGTTTAGATTTTGTCATAGTATAATAGCATTTTCTTTAACTCAATTCTCAATTGCTATGAAAATTATATTGGTCATTTTTCTGATGATATTTGAATAATGAATGAGTAAATAAATTATTAGTTTTCAATAAAAATTTATTATTAATCATTTAATTAAATACAAAAAAAAAAAAAAAATGAATAAAAAAAAAAACTTGCTGTCCAGTTTCTTCTTATCTACATGACTCCATTTTAAAAAGTTCAGTCATAATTTTTGTCCGGAAACTTCAATAAAAAAGAAAAAAAAANTAAAAAAAAAAAAAAAAAAAAAATGAATACAAAAAAAAAATGAATAAATAAATAAAATTTGATTACACTAAATGAACTTTTTGAGACTATGTGTTATTTCCGTTCTAATTTTAACGTGCTCTCCTGTTTTTGTAAATAAAAAATATATTATATTACAAAATATGTAATTATTACACCAGGACCCGAAATATATATGAAAAGGTCAAGTTCAAGTTTGCGTACAGCCAAAAAAAAAACCGTGAAAAATTTTCCTTTTATAGATAGTGCCTGGTGAAAAGCTATTACCTTTTTTGGCCGAACTTATCATAATTCCGGCACTGAAAAAAATGAGTACAACTAATAGCAAAATTTTTTTGGCTACCTATGGCCTTTATATATATTTCGAGGTCCTATTACACGCATTTATAAAATAAAAATTTTACTTACTATTAACTTCATTAGCTTGAGTTTCGCCTTCAATATACCGTTTTCCTGAAATATTTATTTCCGAAATTAATTTGCTCAATGGTTTTGCTAGTATAAATTACTTACTGAATGTTTGAATTTTTGATAATAAAATCTCTACTTAGACTACAATATTACTAATAATATTATAAAAAATGTTTTATATATTTTCATACATACCTTTGAATGTCATTTATATCAAGCTCATATTCTTTTGTTACATATTCTAAAAAGATGAGTTTAATAATAATTAATAATTGGTTTCATATTTATAATTTAAGATGATAAATAATAATAATCGACTAATTTTAGAATATTACATACTTTGTTCCAATGAATTCATTGAATTAGTAGATGAAAATTCGGAAATAAAAGAACTTAATGATCTACTCGAATAAATTGCTTTTGAATGGTTTTCACTAAATTCTGGACCAATTGACTTAGATTTTAATAATTCTAATCGTATTTCCTCAGCTTGATTAAATTGATCAGGATTTTTTCCTTTATTTGCCCAAAGGTCAAATCTTTCACAAATTTGTTTTGCCGATGGCCTTTTATTGGGTTTATCATCCCAACATTTTTTCATTAAATTAGCGAAATCTTCGGGAGTATCATCTGTAATTTTAGGCCTTTCTCCATCAATAATTTTATAAATTAAATCAGTATCATGTACAATGTTAGCAAAAGGCTTACAACCAGTTGTTAATTCCCACATAATCATACCCATACTGTAAATATCAGACGCTTTTGAAAATGCAACTCCTTTAAATATTTCTGGAGCAATGTATGGTATAACTCCATATATTTCATTGCTTGTATTATTTGCATGTTGTGATAATCCTAAATCTCCAATCAAATATTGGTCAATTATACATGAATCAATTTCAGTTATTTCAACTAATATATTACCACTATGAAAATCTCGATGTATAAAATCTTTTTCATGAATAGTTTGAAGCCTAAAATAAAAACAAATAAATTGATTTGATATCATAAAATATACGTAATAAATAAATTTAATTATAAATACCCATCCGAAATCCTCCATAAGATATGCATTTTTTTCTTCCATGTAATCTTTGTAAAATTCTCTTGTAAATAATTATGCAAATCACCTCCATTTGCATACTTCATGATAAACATAAATTTATTTGTCGTAGGATTTTTTGTAATACCATGACATTTAATAATATATTCAAATTTATTATCATAACATTGATAAAGTGATTTGATCTAAATTGTAAAAATTATTAAATAATAAATAAATATTAATTTATAAAAAAATTTATAGGATCAATTAATTACCTCATTTAAAAAATATTTACTAGGATCTTGAGAATTTAGAAACTCTTTAACCGCGACAATATTTCCATTTATTGACGCTTTATAAATTTTACCATATCCTCCTTCTGCTATTTCCTTTAAATTTGTAATTCGAGAATATGAAATCCACTCTATTTTTAATTTTGAAGCAAAATTATACTTATATATATTTAATGGATTAGAATTTTTGTTAATATTATTAACAAAATCATCAACTTGATTAGCTATGTTGAATTTTGTAAAATTAAGAAATTCGTCTATATTATAATTTCCACTGACGTCACTGACATTAATGGTACCAATAGAAGCAATTCTTTCAATTCTTTTGCATCTTTTACATTGAGATTGATTAATATATCCAAAAATAATATTTGTTGTTAAACAAAACCTACATCCAGTATAAACTATAGGACAATTTAAACAATTTTTTTGACAATTATATTTAAATTCTAGAGGCTGGTGACAAATTACGCATTGATTATAAGAATCCCACCATGGTAAATAAAGAATTGGAATGTGATTTTTGACCAAAGTTGATCCTATAAATTCAAAAGAAATCGAATAACAATTGAAGCATAATTTAAATGCCTCTTGTACATTTTGTTCATAAATTGATTTTTTGCATAATCTGCAGTTTTCTTCATAAAAATAATTCATATTACTAAAATCAAACTGCTGATTTGTAACTATTTGTTTGAAATATAAAATTTCCGAGCAATTTTCGCACCACTCTTGATTGCAAAAATCCAAATTTTTTGGTTCATGTTTATCACAATTAGTATTAGTTGTTCTTATACATATATCCAAATTATCAATTGCACATTTAATATTCAAATTACTAGTAGCATAATTAATGTGCCAATATAAGCAATTCTTGCAATACTTTTGTTTGAATAGGGTTTCAGAATAGACTTTTTTACAATAATAGCATAGAACTTCGTCATTGTTAAAAGGAATAAACATAATTGGCATAGTTAAATAATCTCCATTGTTTCCTAATTTTGCAATTGTTTTAGAATATATCTTGAAATTAAAGTACTTCTTAACCTTCTTCATAAAAATATATATTTCCAATAAATTAGAATGGTTGTCTATATTATTCACATAATTAGTAATTTGATTATAGTAACAAGCGTTGAGTTTTAAAAAGTATTCTTCAATATTTTTCATATCAAGTGGATCAATATCAATCCATGACAATCTTTTACATTTCATACATTGAGATTTTTTTGTAATTCCAAAAATAATATTTGTTGTTAAACAATATCTACACCCAGTGTAAATTATAAAGCAATTTGAGCACCATTTTTGATAATTAGTTTTTAATTTTAGTTTTAAATTACACATTATGCACTCATCATAAGCATCCCACCATTGTAAATGAAGAATTAAAATATGATTTTTGGCCAAAGTTGATTCTATAAATTCAAAAGAAATCGAATAACAATTGGAACATAATTTAGACTCAAAAATGTTATCTTGTACATTTTGTTTGTACATTAATTTTTTGCATAATCTACAGGTTTCTTCATAAAAATGATACGAATTACTAAAATAAAAATGCCGTTTTGTAACTATTTGTTTGAAATGTAAAATTTCCGAGCAATTTTCGCACCACCCTCGAATACAAAAATCCAAATTTTTTGGTTCATGTTCATCACAATTAGTATTAGTTGTTTTTATACATACATCCAAGTTACCAATTGATGTCTTAATACTATCTGTATTACTGGTTGCATATTTAATATACCATTGTAAGCAATACTTGCAATATTTTTGTTTGAATAATAGTGTTTCAGAATAGACTTTTTTGCAACAATAACATTTATATTCATCACTTCTAAAAGGGATGAACATAATTGGTATAGTTAAATGTAAAGAATTTTTATTATTTCCTGCTAAATTTGCAATGTGTGAACATAAAACACTTAAAGGAAAATAATTAAGCTTCTTTATAAAACTATATATTTTCAACAAATTGGAATTTTCGTTAATATTATTTACATAATTAGCAATTTGATTAAAGCTATGAGTATTAAGTTTTAGAAAATATTCTTTAATATTTTCCACATCAGGCGACATATTGATATCAATCATTGTCAATCTTTTACATTTCATACATTGAGATATTTCTGTAATTCCAAAAATAATATTTGTTGTTAAACAATATCTACACCCGGTGTAAATTATAAAGCATTTTGAGCACCATTTTTGACAATTTGATTTAAATTCTAATTTTGATTTACAAACTATACATTGATTATGGGTATCCCACCATGGTAAATGAAGAACTGGAAAAGTAGAAGCAAATTCTGTCCATGTGAAAGAGATTAAATAACAAACTGGGCAAATAATATTATATTGCTTATCACAACATAATTCACAGTTTCTTAAATATGTATTACTACTAGTATCAATACAAAATAAAGAATTTGAGATCATTTGTTTAAAATAAAAATTCTCAATCATTCTTTTTTGTATATGAAAACGTTTTCCATTTACATCATAAATATCTAAGTATGCATTAAAATTAGTCATTTTCTTTATATACTTAGATAAACAATTTTCGCAGTATTGTTGTGAAAAACTTGCAAACGAGTATAAATTTCCACAATTACATCTAATCTCGTCTATGTTAAAGGGGAGAAACAAAATTTGAATAGGACTAGATATTAATCTTGGTGTCGGATTAAAAGAATTTTTACTATTCATAATTTCCACGATGCAATATATTTTAAGGAAAATTTCAAAAAAAAGTAAAAATAAAATAAAAATTATTAATATAATTTTCTCAATGGAATTCTATGGAAGCGTAACTAAATAAAAGTGGAAATATGGTCGCAGATCCATAAGTCTTCATTGTTAAATCATATGAAATCTGCAGATTGGCACAAAATGTCCCACTGTCCGTCTGACACATGATTATGATCAACAATATAAATTATGTAGCATCCAATAATTATTCTTCTAAAAACATACTGTCTCTGAAAACATGTATATGTTTCCCAGTTTGGCAATAGTGTGATCATACTATTCCAAATATATTCACTTAATTCATATGCTTAGTCATCACATACAACGTGAAATCAGATTTTTATAATATAGATTATAGTTATATAACTTATAGTTTATAACTTATAACTTCTTCTGACATCAAAAGAGTAAAATGCAATTTAAGGTCTCCTATGTACTTTTATATATTGCATATTAAATTGGAGGATTAATAAACAAGTTTTTTTGTGAAGATTAATTTCGTTGATCTTTTTTTTTCTGGAAAAAAAGACAGAGGTACATATAAACTTATTTACACAGTGAAATTCAATAAACCGGATCTTCAATAAACCGGATTTGGGCCAAACTGGACTTTTTTGCTGGAACTAAATCACGTATATTAAAATAGTTTGAGTTTACTAGTAAATCAATTTTCTAACCAGATATAGTAAAATGATTCGATAAATCGGATCACGTGATCATTAACCAATAAAATTTATGTAACGTGATGCGGTAAATCTTAATTTTGGCCAAAAAAAACTCTTTCCGATAAATCCAATTTTTATTAAAATGGCGCAGTAGAATATTTTTATTATTACAAAATAGACGTCTTTATTTTTTTTTGCTTGCTAATACCCTTTATTTTAAACTTACAACTCGCGAATATATATAAGTCACTCCATATCTTCTAGTATATACATATGGTAAAAGTTAATACTTTTAATAAAATTATACAGTCAAGAGACAACGTCTTTTTACCCCTTTACGTAATATACAACCCAGCAGTTATATAAGAGTTTTTTATTTTCTACTGTAGCTACACTATACATTTGAACCTTTATATTTTAATATTCAAAATATAAATTTTTTACTATCTTTTATTATTATATATTCCTTAAAATGTCTTCCGAAAAATTTTCTTTGGAAAATTTTTTTTCGAAAACTCCTTTGCAGGTATCCCTGAAAAAATTTCACGTGACCAAACCAAATCGATCAGGTTATAACAAGATATATGAAATACGCTGATCAAGGAGTTTCTTTTTTGAGCTCGCTGATCAAATTCCGTGCACCAATAATATTCATTTAACGATACACACAAATGATTATCAAATGAACACAAAACCTATTAGTTACAAGAACACGAGTTCCTTTCCAAACAACAAATACCAAATTAGTTGTATGCTCACACACTTTTTTTCTTTACAAAGAGTTATACCCTGATGTGTCCAACAAAAATATTTTAATATGCTTCGAAACAAATTATTGGACTGAATTAATATTATAGAATCACGTGGTTCGTTGGTAACGACCAGAAATATTCATACTAAAACATTCTTTAATTTTAGCTACAAAGAATATAGATTTTATTTTGGAATTTATATACCCTGTTCTCATATTCAATCAACTCCAGACACTTTCTCTATGTTAGGCAAATGTAAAATTTCTGCTCCTTTTATTATGTTACGTGATAGATGTGCTTGTGTCAATCACCAACCACAATTTTTTAAATCCAACATTTTTCATAATATTAAACCCAAAATTGAACACAAAGATAAAGATACTACTCCTGATTTTACTAATAGTAAAACTTCACATGCTAATCTGTTGTATTTTAGATGGTTAGCTGGATGACAAAACATATTTTCTCTAAAAGAATGGGTATATCCTTTATTTCTTCTTACCATGCTCGGGACAATTCATCTGTCCTCAAATTTCACAACAAACACATGTACAGAAAAAGATTATCTAATTTTGAAAAGATTCCAAGTCCTAATCTCCGTACACAGAAATGGCAAGAAATACGCTTCAATCGCGCTTATCATCGCATTTTTAGTAAGATGAAATTATCTCCTGGACGTACTGCTCAACACTCAGATTATTTGGCTGTAGGACAAAAATAACAATTCCTATTCATTAAATCACAGTATATCAACAAACCAATCAAACATTTATTATACAAGAAGGCTAATATCGCTCCGAATGCTGACGATTACAAATTCTTTATACCTTTCTATGTAAATAATTCCCAACACGCTAACACAATTAAGGAGAATGTGAATTTTCTTGATGCTCGCATTCACATTTCTCCCACCTTACAAACCTTTGATGATTCAGTTCCTTGGGTTGAAGAATATAATCCGATCCCTAACATGTTTATCCCAGTAAAATACTGAGATATTATTCCAAAAGATCCTATTTATATTTTAACTGATGAAGGTAAAACTTATATTCCACCTGGCTCTCGACAATGGTTCACTCATATGTATAATTTAGAATGAAGAATTAGAAGACAATAACGCTTTGATGAAATTGACCACAAACAATAGGCTGAAGCTATTGCTTTAGAAAATTTACGTAATCAAAAAAACATATCAAGGGCCGCTTATTATGGCACTAGTTTTAAACATCTAGTGACGTGATTACGCGATCAAGATTCTTTTACAAGAGTACAGGATACATATGATGAATACATACGTCATCATATCACAGACAAGAATTACCCTGACCATATTAATAATGAATGAAAACAACGTAATCTTAATAGAAATTTATCTAAATTTTTGAAAAAGTTAAAAAGTGAAACTCCCAATACTTTACACGAGATATCAGATGATACTAAATCTTTAGAACACCAACCTAACAAACACGATTCAACTTGTTTTACTAATACGTCTACAAATAATTCATTACATCCTCACAAACGTCCTCATCCTTCTACTGAAAATGCAGATGACTCCCCAGTAGCTGAACCATCAACTAATACAGAAAAATTTTTTATTCATATGTAATTTTTTATACATTAGGAGTCAAATACCCCTTATCAAGTAGTTTAATCTATTAAAATAATGTGAAACATTCCACTTCTTACAGTATTTACAAGTGGCGACCTTGGTTGAAAGCAAAATACGGATTCTTAATCTTTTTTTTGAATTGTAGTTTTTTCTTTTCTTCTTTCTCTTTTTTTCTTTGACCCATTTGAAATGTTAGCGTAGGACCCCGCCTACTATTAAGATAGGTCACCCTGTGGCCTAACGTAAGGTTTACATATAAAATTCTTTGAAGTTCCTACTATAAAAGGAAATTTTATGTTACATTGTTATGATTTTTTTCCTTTTTAATCAATTAACCAATAGAATTTAAGCAAATCCTAAGGTAAGGTTTCATATGAAAGTGAAATTTTTACCGGTAATATATCTTAGTAGTAGGCGGAATCCTGTTAGCGTAGTCCTAGTATTTTGAATAGTTTGTTCGAAGGGTGAAGTCCCGTAGGGGATTAATTTCCAAAATTCTATACACGCCTATCAGTTACCATCATGTAAATGTTGCTTGACTTTTATTTTGTAATAGTTTTGGGAATACTACTCTTCTAGTAATAAAATAAATAAATAAATAATCTTAATTTTGGCCAGAATTATATAATTATATCCAAAGATAAGATAGATGATAGTATGTAAAATTTACCTGATTTATTAATATCTATTTCTCATCATTACCATCTAATAATAAAGTAAAAAATAAAAATAAAATGATAAATATGAAAATAGTAAATAATATTAGAATCACAGAATCACCGAATTATTTGCTAACCTATATAAATTATCTTATTATCAGGCAATAAAGTGACAACACTACCAAGAACACCTTTTGGTGCACCAATTGAATTTCCTTTGTTCCAAATTAAATTTATTGTATCTAAAATATTAACATCTGGACCAATTCCATCCCAGAAATACCCTATAAAAAATAAATGTCCAGAAAATGTCTACGAAAATGTCCAGAAATTGTCCAGAATAAATCTGGCATGTCCAGAAATTGTCTAGAAAATGTCTATTTTTTGCTACAAATTTGGTACCTAAAATTTTGATATATCCGGATTTTGTCCAGAATTTGTCCAGTATAAAATTTTGGACAAATTCCGGACAGATAAACCTGGGCAAATTCCAGACATATAAAAATTCAGATAATTTGAACTGGACAAATTCTGGACGCTACTTCCAAAAAAGGATAAATTAATTTTGTAAAAAAATGCAAAAAGCACAAGACTGACATTCATAACCTTCTTTGTCATACTAATTAAATTTGCTGAGAAGGCAAAAATACTATATATCTATAATATAAACTTTAAGTTAAAAGCAATTATAATGATGGTCACCTGTTGATCATCTTTTTGTGCTAAATTTTATGAAAAAATATTTCAGGTCAATTTCCGGACAAATTCTGGAAAAATGAGTGTCCAGAAACGAGTGTGTTTTCAGAACAATTTCCGGACATGGTACCTGGCATTTTCTGGACATTTTCTGGACAATTATTTAGACAAATTTTCTGGACATTTTCTGGACAATTTCCGGACACTTATTTTTTATAGGGATACATTAATCCATTATGGTCTATAATTTCCATTTCAAAAGTAAATAAAGAATACTAGGAAGTTCCTCTGGTTACTTTTAAAATATTCCATGAATTGTTTTGTGGATTAAATGTGTAGGCTGTTACTACTTTAAAAACTTTGACGTCATTGAATTCTCCGCATATGAATAACGTATTATTATTTGCACCACCCTTTGCGGATGCAGCATTATAATGTGCAGGAACTTTATTAGTGCTTGATAAATCTTTCACTTTTAAATTTTTAATATTAAAAGGGATAGAAAAATCAATATAAAAAAATCATTTCCAACTTCATTAGATGGGAAACCACCCAAAATATATAATTTATTATCAATAAATGTTGCAGTATGACCTGACCTTCTCTTCGACAAATAGGTTGTTTCTTGGCAATCTATTTCAATTAATAATTGAAATAAAATCCATAACATAATATAAAAAAAAACCTAATAATATAAAAGTATTAGACAGTCTGGTGGCAACAAAGTCGCTGCGTATAAACCTAAGCTAGTTTATTAATTATTTTATTTTTCTAAATTAAAAGTTTGAATAATTATAAGACCATTATATGTTACAACTAAAGTGTATTAAGTTTATGATTATAAATCTTAATACATTAATTTTTTAATATGAAATAATATATCATCTACTAATAAAAATATGTGTAATTTAAAAATATAATATCAGTTGCCAGTAAAATGGTAGAAAAAATTCGGATCGACATGAATTTTGTAATACTATAATTTTGATGATTCCTTATTTATCTAAATGGTTTCACAATGTTTCAATTAGGTAATGAAAATAAAAATGTGCGGATGTAAAAATTGTTGAATCTGATTGGTATGGATTTTAGCCTCAGATGTGCAATGTGCATGCATATTTTTGTATACATTACATTTAGTTCGGAGCTCTGTAATAAAATAAAATAATTTTACGATCACTAAATTTGTTTTAATGATTTTCATTTATTATAAAGTAAATAACAATATTACATATATAACTAAAATTACTGTAATTGACACATTTATTTCATCATTTATAAGTATAGAATCGTTAAAAAGATATTTTAAAAAAAGCCAAGAAATACTAATATGGAAATTTTAAATAAAGCATCCAGAGAAAAGCCAAAAAATTTATGGAAATATGTCGATTCTGATAAATATCATGTAAATGCAATTTCACTTTATAATTTATTATAAAAATATAAATTAAATAGTAAATAAATTTTATTACATATTTAGAAACATGTTACAATTTCTTCTATTGATTCAGTTATCAAATCAGAAGAAATTGATGATAAAATAATCTATATGGACGAAATAGAAAAAAGAAAAGAAGTATATGGTATATGTGGAGAATGTAATGAACCTGGCACAGGAGAATATTGGTGTCAACCTTGTAATGCAAAAAGATTTGAAGAAAATTTTAAAAATTGGACTAGTGGAAATAAAGAAATTGATGAATTAATACAACATTCACTGTACGTTATACAAATTGTCTTGAATGGATACCTTTTGAGAAATTTCAAAATGTCACTTATATTACCAGAGGAGTCTTTGGTAAAATTTATTCAGCCGAATGGCCTGAAGGAAATTTTTTTAACTGGGATATTGAAAATCAAAAATGGAAAGAAATACAAATCATAAAGTTGCTTTAAAAAGCTTGGATAATTCTTCTGAAATTAGTACAGATTTTTTAAATGAGGTAACTAAATAAAAAAATTAATTTATCATGTTATATTTAAATTTTCATTGTAATTTTTGTTTAAACTTTTTTTTAATATTAATTGTTAGATCAAATCTCATCTTCAGATTTTTATTTGGGATATTATTTATTGCTATGGAATAACTCAAGATCCAAATACCAAAGATTATATGATGGTTTCATATTACTGTGAAAATGGAAATTTAAGAAATTACTATTTAAATAATTCCGATAATATAAAACTTTATCATTTATTAGAAATTGCAAATGGACTGTTAAGTATTCATAATGCTGAAAAAGTCCATAAAGACTTTCATTCATGTAATATATTGGAAGGTAGGGCTATGTATATAAGTGATTTAGGAATGTGTCAACCAGCAAATAATAAAGAGAAATCAGATAAAAAAGGAGTTTATGGAGTATTACCTTATATGGCACCAGAAGTTTTACGTGGATATCAATATACAAAAGCAGCTGATATTTATTCATTTGGAATAATTATGAATGAGTTTCTTTCTGAAGAAATCCCTTTTAATGATATTCCTCATGATCATATTTTAGCTGTTAAAATATGTAAAGGATTTAGACCAAAAATTTCTGAACATATTCCAAAATTTCTTGTAGATTTAATTATGAAATGTTGGGATGCTAGAGCAGAAAATAGACCAATTGCTAAAGAATTGTATCAAACATTAAAGAAATGGGAGGAAATACAGTATAATGATGATAAAATTTCTTCTCAAATGAGTGAATATGAAGATAAAATTAGAGAAAAAAAATCTAAAAACAGATCAAATGGAAATAATTCTGAAAGTATTAAAACTCATCCTCAAGCAATTTATACCATAGACTTTTAAGTTTTAAAAATCTTCCAGAACCAGTAAATTCATCAGATTTAACATCTTTCCAAGTTAATTCAGGTAAATCTTCAACTTTAATTGTGAAAAAAAAGTTCAAGTTTTAATAATATCTAACCTTTTTAATAATCGATGATGTCCAATCAGTATCAGCAAATCTAAGTAAGTGTAAATACTTTTTGTATTTATAAATTATATTTATTTTAACATTATATTGTTGTTTAATTTATAGTTTCAGAATGTTTTGATTGTAAAATTTAGTGAATCAGGTAAAATAATTTATTTGGAGTGATTTATTAATTAGTTTCCGTCTAATTCGTTTAATTTATTTAATTATTCCTAATAATAGATCTCAATGAAATTAATCAAGAAGAAAATAATTTGATTGATGAGCCTTAAATAACAATTTGTTTTTCAGGAATAGTCAGAATAATAATTTAAAAATTTTTATTTAACTTGGTTTATATTTAGTAATCAGTATTATATCATAGTATGGAAGAATCAAATAAGTAAAAAAAAAAATATCTTATGTTAAAAAGAGACGCCAATTTTGATTACAAACGCTAAAAAGCGGAATGCTTGGAAAATGTCATTATGATATCACGATAAAAAATTATGATAGAAAAATCTTAGGTTAGCTTGTCTATTAAGAAAGCTGCAAACAAACAAATAATTATTCTTTATATTTAAAAGTCATTTATTTTTATATTTGAATAAGTTTAAATAAAAATTTTTTTTTGTTTATTTTAAACTTATTTAAGACTTTAATTGAATTATTTTTAAGATGGGTTAAAATAATCATACATTTTTTTCATGAAACAAAAACTGCAGTCGGTATCCACAGTAATCGCACCAGGAAAATATTCATTTATCACATAATTTCTTTATTTATTCCAAAGCTTAATAGATTATATATTCACGATTAAAGAATTTTATCTTCTAAAATTCTTCTGCGCTAATTTATTTAATTGATTACTATTAACCAATTATTTATTGACTAAAGTAAAGTATTGAATTATATAAATAGATAAATCACGCCATTCACAGACTATCGGATCAAAATTAAAATAGTACAAACAAAACGTCATTATTTAATTTTACAAATGAAAAAATTATTTTTAATCGAAATGAAAATAAAAACTATTTATTACATATATGTAATAAGTGTTACTTTCACAAAATATAAAATACCTTCATAATGAATATTAAACTAATTTTACTAATTATAAATAAAAATTTTTTCAATGTTCTTTTTTCTTCTTCCAAAGTAAGAAAATAGATTTTCTTTGAATAATCAATATTCTTTTTCTTGTTGATATTTAAAATTCAAAAACACAAGGCATAAAAAATATTTTTATAGTAGTTACAATATAAGAATTTATATTATATGTACAAATCTATTTGTCGTACTTTTGCAAAAAATGTTATGTAAAAGATAGTGATTCGAATAAATTAAAAAAAAAAAATCCAACTTGGATATAAATTCGAATATATCCGGATAGAACTGAAATCTGGATAGGATACATAAATAACCTAATACCTGACACTAATATATAAATTCTTTTTTATATGTAAAATTTTTTGGCACTTGCACACAATAAATATACGCAAGTGTTTATACAAAAAGACAGTAGTATTTGAAAAATTCTGATTTTCCGTTAAAAATCATGGTTATCAATGAATATGTGCATAAAATCGATTTACCAGGATCCAAAATCGTTTAAATATTTATTTATTTTTATTATCCAGATTTCGGATAAAATCACGACCATCTAGATATCTGAAAAAGAAAATTTATTCGGTTCATCCAGTAAATATGGCTACGGGCCGAAACACTAGTAAAAGAGAATACTTTTTCCAATTTGCAAACAAATAATTATAATAAGTATATCATTTCGATAAACATTTTTTTAAGCAAGATATCATAAATAGTAAACGCAAATATAATTCGCCATTCTTTTTTATAAATGAATGTTTAATCATTATTAATTCATTAATCATCCTATAATGAAGATTATAATAAAAGGTATTTATTATCATTTATATAATTATTTTTTTTCCGCATGACACTTTTCAAATTTCAACATGCTAGTATCTTGAGTTGTTCTTATAGCAATCACTACTTCATTATTAATTACTATAGGGTTGATCATAATTAATAGTTATTCGGCACGAAGTGCCGAATATTGGGTAAATCAAATTTGATTGGTTGATCCAGCTCCGCAGGAGCCTGAGATCAACTGATCAAATTTAATTATAAGCTAGCATTAGTTATTCAGCTAAAAGTGCCGAATAAGTGATTTGTCCGGTATCATGTGATTTATATGTAACATTTAAGCTTTTTTTTGCCATTTTAAGACTTTTTTTTAATAAACTTTTTTTTTACTAAATAAACATTTATATCGTCTCTTGACTCTTCTAATGGAAAATATTGATTTTATTAACGATAATGTGAGTTTTATATTTAAATTATTATGATTGTTATTAATATTTTTAAAATTAATAATATCTGATATAATATTTTAGTCATATTTCAAACCAACGGCTGAAGAGCTTGCAAAATTTTAACAAAGCCGCGTACCATTAAATACAACTAGATGTACTGAAAAATGGGTCAATATTTTGAATTCTTGGCAAAATCATCAAAATGTTGGTTATACGTATACACTTGAATCACTTTCTTCTAATGAACAAATTGTAAAGGAAATGTGTGAATTTTTATATGGTGTTAGAACAAAGAATATTCAAGAGCATCACTTAAAAATGCAGTTGCTTCAATAATTCGCCACCTTAAAAATTCAATACCATATTTGGATTAAGAATTGTGCTATCTAATTTATAATTATTTATATTCTTTTTTTTATTGCATTTGGAGTAATCCTCTTTCTGATATCGCTTAATAATTCTCAACTTTTGCAGGTCCTTTTGTTCTTTCATCTCTAATTTAGTTATTTTTTAGCATTACCCAAATTTCTCCTTTTAAATCATAAATCTGCTGCACATAATAAACATATGCAAATTTTCCAAAGTTTCCAAGTTTTCAAAAGTAAAGTTTTTAATGATTTTTATTATTCTTAATTGGTGATCCGCGAGTCAAGTAGCGAAAACGATAATAAAATTTGACGGAAATTTATTAATTAAAAGCCGCATTTCCGAATGTGGGGTTGTTCATGAATTTCTCTAGCCAAATGTTTAAATAACGCCATTTTTCTTTAATGAAATAGTTTTCCACAGTTTTCCCACCAATCTCATGCAAAAAAAATCATAATGTAACATTGGAAAAAAGTCCAATTTCTAAGAGATCTGAGATTCGAAAGACAAAAACTAGTTTTATCATACCATATCACTTGTATAATGAGTGTGAAAAAGTCTTGAATTTGTCGAGTTAGAAGTTATTACAGCATAGTTTACTAATAAAATAAATCAAAAATAAAGCAATATGCATGAAAGTTTAGTGAAATATAAAAAAATTTCCATAATTTGTACTTTTAAAACCTTAGTTTACCTAATAACATAGTAAATGCCGCGTGCTTCCAAGGTAAACTTCGTCAAAAAAAAGTTTTACACTTTGTAGCTTTGAAAAATAAAAGTGTGACATTTACTTTATTGTTTGTGTTATTTTTAGTAAACTATGCTTATAGTTTTTGTTACATCAGAAATCATTAAAGTCGGCGTATTATGACAAATTAGTATATGATTTGCGTCAAATTTTATATGTAATTTCTCTAGTTGACTCGCGGATCGTCAATTAAGTATAGAAAAAATTTCTTATTTAAAAAAGGTTTTCCTTTCGATTTAAAATTAATTCCCACCAATTCATATCAAATTCGAATTAAAAATATAAATGAAATCTGTTATTTTATGCTTTTTTTTTATTACACCCATTTGTAATTCAAATGGTTTTAACTTGTGGAGTATATTTTATGGATAACAATTCTAAAGAAAGAATGTTGGTAGATCATGGTCAAGGTTGTATTCAATTTTAACTTATGTATAAATAATTTTGAGATAAAAATTAATTGTATGTTATTGAACGGGGCGTCAAAATATCAGCCGAAGGCCGATATAGCCCCGTTCAATAACAATATTATTATACGTGATATTAGGATTAGTGCGTGTGCTAATATAATTATATTGTCGATCATCATTAAAAATATCGGGCATGATAACAAAAATATCGGTACAATGAATTCCGCACAATCCTAATGAGCGTGTAATAATTGATATTATTATTGTTATATGGATGTTAGTTCAATATGAAAGTAAAAATGACTGTTTTAAAGAAGCCAATTTAGCAATTAGAAACAAATGCACAGAATTGAAGAATGGATCGGATAAAGAAAAAATAAAATGCAAGTATATTTTATGAACTATATAACTAGATACCTGGTCTCCTAGCGTGTAATGGGAATATATTTAGATTACTGTATTTATTTATTGATCATTATAATTTTAATTATAGTTGCAATACGTTTGACTTTGTGCCAGCTTGAAATGGCAAAGTTTGAAATACCAAGAGAATGTGAAAATATGAATGAATATTCTGGTGAATGTGCTGTCACATTTATATTTAGAGTGAAATCATCACTATGAATGAAATAATTTGTTGTGTTAAAGATCGGCAAATTACAGTATTCTTACGAACGAACGTAAATTTTTTGATATTATTGGTTTAACACGTTATAACATTAATGTTTTTTTATAAAATTTATTAATTACAAATAAAAATTACAATTTTTTATATTATTAATAACATTACTTTTTTCATTGACTAGTGATTAAATTGCATCAAATTTAACTATATCCTGAGGAAATATTTACTAAATGTTCAAGTCAGGTTCGATTTAAAATTGATTTCCATACAATTATCAGTTTTAAAATTAGAGAAAATGATTTTTTTTGCAAAGTTTATCAGAATTTCGTTCTTTGAATTGTTATTTATTTTTTTTTTATAAGGTTCTTAGGAGATAGTTCGCAAGGTCCATTGCTTAGATAGTGAATATCAGTCAAAAGAATCTTATATTGCGAACTACTTGCATGAAGTAGTGCTGGAGTGGTGTATCCATTCTCAATAGATTTAACAAAGACTCCTAGAGTATGGTCCTTGTTATACCTATGAAAATCTAATTAGGAATGAAAACACTACATTAAAATTTTCAAATATTCAAAAGGATTACCTTATGAGGGCTCCTTCAAATTCTCGGATTTCGTTTATTCCCACTTTTGTGGTGATATAATTCTTACATTGAACCAAGAGGGTATGTTCTTTAAATGGACTAAAAAATATCGATGCGCGAACCCCTATACCAAGTAAAATAAAAGCAAGTAAACATCATTACAATGTGGATGCAATAACCTGAGGTCGGTCTCAAGTTACTACAAACCATACACCTATTCATCACAACCATAAAGGATTTCGAATACCCTATGAAAAAAAATCATCCAATTTTTGTACGATATTTGTTCAAGTTCGTGTGGAAATTGTACAATTATTGCAGATTTTTGGATAAAAATAGCTATGAAGTTTTTCAAAGCATATTAAAAGTATGCAATTTTTGTACAACTTAAATTTAGAATATAGAAAATGTTCAATTTTTGTGTGATCTTTATACAACTTAAATTTAGGATACAGAAAACATTCAATTTTTGTACAATAAAAATTGTGATTATTG